AACAACCCAAATGCTCAAAAATTGTTGACTGGATCTAGAAGATGTCGTGGAATACCAATGGAATACCATTCAGCAATCAAAAACAATAAACTGATGCCATTCACAGCAACATGGATGGAGCTAGAAGGGATTGTGCTCAGTAAAATAAGTCAGAAGGAGAAAGAAAAATATTGGATGGTTTCACTTATAGAGGAATACAGGGGAACAAATAAGGCATTAGGGAAAAATAAAATAACAAAAAAAAATAACAATACAAAACAAAAATAAACAGGCAACTATACATCAGAGCCATTATGCAGGGGAGAGGGATCAAAACAAGAGAGGGAAGAGCACAAGGGACTGTGGTGATGGTGCATGGGTGAACTGGTGGTGGAAATTTTGTGGGGACTATACCTGAGAAAAGAAAGCAAACATAGTAAAAAAAAATGATGTGTTTTATATATATATATATATATATATGTATTATGTATAATTTTTTTATTTAAAAAAAGATTTATTTATTTATTTATACAAGCACTGGGTACAGTCAGAAGCGTGGGAGGGTGAGAGAATTCACCAGAGCCAGAGCGGGGAACAGAACAGGCAGACCATGAAATACACTGCTGAGGGGAGCAGCAGGCATGGCAGGAGAGGTCTGTGCACCATGTGGGACCCTCGCTGGTGGCCGGGGATTAAACTGGAGCTGCAGAGGCTGCGGGCAGCTTCACAGCCCAGTGCTCAACTGCTGCTCCACCAGGGGAGGCCCTATATAATTTTTTTTAATTAAAAATGTGAAGAAAAACAAACAGAATAACCAAAAAAAAAAAAAAGGCATATCAGATATACCCAAGGCTCCAAGATTCTTTTGCTATTTGCCTGAATGAACAGTGAACCTGCCCCACCTGTGATGGTTGTACAACAGATGTAGAAGGGAGTACTTGCAATTTTATGGTTTTACAAAGTGGGTCTAGCAAATGGTAAAGGAATGAGATTACAGCATGTTTAATAAGACCACCATTGAAGGACAAGCCAAGAACCCAGGTTAGGTACAGAAACCAAATGGGGAGAAGGGTAGGGAAAGAAGGAGGGATATATAAAACTGAGATCTAAAGAAGACAAAGAAGATTTCTTGTTTGGGGCAGTAGTACATATTGAAATTATGGACACTATGATCCTAGAAGAGAAAGCTCAGAATTTATTATGATGTGGACTAGCTAGTGTTTTGGAGTTCATGCAGTGCCAAATTTCAGCATAGATAAAGTCACTGAAGCTGTGAGAGATCATGAATTATGGGGTGAGAGTATTAGATGAGTCATTAATTGGTGTGAGTCTAGAAGTGTCTGTCCTGATAGCAGTGGAGAGCTCCAAGAGGAAAACAGTAAGTCAGGGAGCACTGTGGATGGCCCACATGGTTACAAAGGCAGGTTGCAGACATTGTGAGGTTTCTGCTTGCTATCCATTCTATCTTTTTTCCTTGCTAGAACTCCAACTTTTTTTCAGAATTAGAGTGATCATATGCTAGGCTCATGATTCATCTAAACTTAAAACTAGATTGGATAGGGTGCGGGGGAGGAAAGCGCTGTGGAGGCTGGTGGAGGGCACTTTGGTGGTGGGAAAACTATGGTGACTGCACCTAAAGGGAGAAATCCTATATTGTGAAAAAATAGACAAGGATGTCAAAAACAAAACAAAAAACACTTTGCTCCGTTGCATATTCTTTGCTCCTTTGTCAAAGATTAGTTGATTGTAAATCTGTGGGTTCATTTCTGGATTTTCTATTTGGTTCCATTGGTCTGTATGTCTGTTCTTGTTCCAATACCATGCAGTTTTGATTATTATGGCTTTGTAGTATAGTTTGAAATCTGGGTGTGTGTTGCCTCCAGTCCCTTTTTTTTTTTTTTTTTTTTTAGGAGGGCTTTGTCTATTCAGGGTTTTTGGTGGCTCCATATGAATTTCATCAATATTTGTTCTATTTCTTTGAAAAATGTCATTGAAATTTTGATTGGAATAGCATTGAATCTGTAAATTGCTTTTGGTAGAATGGCCATTTTGATAATGTTAATTCTTCCCATCCATGAGCAGGGGATGCCTTTCTATTTCTTTGTGTCTTCTGTTTCTTTTAACAGTGTTTTATAGTTTTCCTTGTATAGGTCCTTTACCTCTTTTGTTAGGTTTATTCAGAAGTATTTGATTTTTATGTTTCAATAATAAAAGGGATGGCTTTCTTGATTTCTCCTTCAGATTGATTGTGTATAGGAAGGCTACTGATTTTTGTGTGTTGATTTTGTATCAACACACTGCTACTTTACTAAACTGATTGGTTTGATCAGTTTTTCTGTGGCGTTTTTGGTGTTCTCTATGTATATTATCATATCATCTGTGAATAGTGATAGTTTGACTTCTTCCTTCCCTATTTGGATTCCTTGTATGTCTTTGTCTTGGACAGACATTATATTATAATTGAGTGCCTAATCCTAATCTTGCTCAGCTTGTCTGTCTGTCTAGCATAGTGCAATCTCCAGTGCTGTAAAGCTGTAACACCTTCTTTTTAGCATCCCCAATCTGGCATTCAAAGTGTACTGCCATTGCTATCAGTGCTGTGAGTCTGGGAAGACAGAATCCATCCACTTCTTTATTTCCTATTTCATTGTGGTATTTCTTTTTATTTATTTATTTATTTATTTATTAGGACGTTTCAAATTCAGATTTGGCAAGAGGATAGTGGGTGCTGGATCTTTTTTTTTTTTTTTAAAGGTTTATTTATTTATTTATACAAGCACTGGGTACAGTCAGAAGCGCGGGAGGGTGAGAGAATTCACCAGAGCCAGAGCGGGGAGCAGAGCAGGCAGAAGGACCAAAGTACACTGCTGAGGGGAGCAGCGGGCAGCAGGAGAGGTCTGCGCGCCATGTGGGACCCTCCTCTGGTGGCCGGGGAGCAGCCGGGAATTGAACCAGTGCTGCAGAGGCTGCGGGCAGCTTCTCAACGCAGCGCTCAACTAATGCACCACCGGGGAGGCCCTCATTGTGGTATTTCTAATCGTAAGGTGAGTATTTCTCTAAAACTGGATTTAAGTGAGTTTATGTAATATGTATTTATTTTTGAAATTATGTTTTTATTGTGCTTGACCCATGTTCAGGAGCCAGATGGCCTCATGAGACTGTTCATTTCATGATATTTTTCTTTTAATATTGCTGTAGAATATGAGTTCTCTTTGTTTTACACAGATTCATAATACTGATCTTTTTATATCACCATGCATACATTTTAATATTCTTTAATGTTTTCTTTAAAAAAATTTTTGTACCATTTATTGGTTAATAACTCCATGTAAATTTCATGAGTACAGTTTCACACCTCAAGTTACTTACTACACCACACTCACCACCACCTCTGCTGTCCAGTTGTAACCCCACCTGTTTCCCCACATCCCACTTCCCCTTTAATGTTTTCTTGATTCAAAGTACACTTCCTCCATAGGAATAAAAGGTTACTGCTCAGGTGTGATAAAACAGAGAATGTGCCTTTTGTGTTCATAGCCTTTGATGATTAAAAGGGTTACAAAGCCTAAATACATTGTTGTAATTCTCTGATGAAATGGAAATGATTTTGAATAGATCTAGAATATAATATGCTAATTACCAGTTTCAAAAGACTGACTGGAGAGGTTGAGATAAAGCTGATTTGAGTTGGTCTGTTTGGGGCTAGCATTAAGAGAACAAAATGTACAAAATGGTTTTGCTAGCTGAGATTGTGAATGTTTAGAAGAACACAAGAGTGCCAGATCAGAGCCTCCCCGGTGGTACAGTGGGTTGAGCACAGCGCTGTGAAGCTGTCCTCAGCCTCGGCAGCACGGATTCGATTCTGGGCCCAGCAGGAAGAAACCCACATGGTGCAGCAGACCTCTCCTGCCTCACCTGCTGCTCCCCTCAGCAGTGTTTTTAGTCCATCTGCCTGTTCTGCTCCCTGCTGTGTCCCTGGTGAATTCTCTCACCCTCCCGTGCCTCTGACCTGTACCCCAGTTCTTGTGTAAATAAATAAATCTTTAAAAAAAAAAAGAGTGCCAGATCAAAAGCCCAAGAGCTGTGGGCTGAGCTCAAGCCTACTTATTCGAGTTGTCTACCCAAGGCAGCAGGACAGGGTGTAGATCTTTGTGTCCCCACAAGTAGTGGTATGAGGGGTGGAACTGGAATAGAGCCACAGATGGCACACATCCAGATCAGGGGCTGAAGATCCAGTTTCAGGTAGAATATATATATATTCTATATATATATATGTATTCTATATACATATATATAAATATAAAATGGACAGATTAAACTGGATACATGCAGATGATTTATAACCCTGCTTACTTTAGACTTGTGGGAATAGTGTAGCCATTTAGTAGAATATTAAGGCTTGCATCTTGTTAGTCTGGGCTGTTTTGGGGTCAGGGTCTGGGTTAGTTATTGGTGATCATGATATAAACTTATGGTCACATTGTAGCAGGAATAGGAACAGAAAGTTCCCATTTTGAGCAGTAAAAATCCAGGCTGTGGAGCCATTGGAACTGTGGCCAATTGAAATATTTCCCTTTTGAGTGTCTTACTCATTCTCTGAACTAAAGTTTTAGCTTTATCGCTATGATAATAATATTATGTCAAGGGATTGTTGTAAAAATAAAAGGTCCTTTTTACTAGAACTTTCTCTGATGATGGAAACATTTTAACCTGCATTGCCCAAGTGATAGCAGCTAGCCATCTGTGGCTACTCAGCACTTGAAATTTGGCTGGTGTGAACAAAGTGAATTTTTTAAAATTTTAATGAAGTTAAATAGCCATATGTAATAACTAACTATTGTATTAGACAATATGGCACTAGAGGATAACCATTATAAGGACTAATTAGAATATAAAAATGAGTTTTTTAAAAAATTTTCTTGACCTGTATATTCTTTCAGGTACTTATTTTTGATCATGTTATATGCTCTTTGGAGAAAAAATTTTAATATAACCACAAAAAAGACTATATTGACAGACAAGAGAGATCATAATATACTTTAATTTTAATCATGAAAGAATTATAACAAGTGCAGAAGATTTCGGAAGAGCAGAGGGTATCTTCAGGTTACATTGTTTGCAGGAGGAATGGAAAAACTTGTGCTGGTTATAGAAACATGTTATGATTTTGGATAGGTGAAAGAAAGGAAAGGGGATTATAGGTGGAGGCAAAGTGAAAATAGAGTAGCGACCCTCAAATCAGAGCTCAGAATTTGCAGAAGTGTGATGATAGTTGGAAAGTGAAATCAAGCTGGAAAGGTGCTTTGGAAGATGAGATCAACCATATCATTGGTTATAGGTGCTTTTGAATTCATGGCTAAATAGCTAGAGATTTATCTTTCAAGCACTGTAAATTTAGAATTGTTGAAGGATTTTGATCTAGAGAGAAATATAATCAGTCTTGCTTTCAGAAAATAATTATGGTAGACGTATGATAAACAGAGAAAGTAGTTAGGAAGCTTGCACTAGTGTAGGCAAGAGGTAAAGGATTTCTGAACAAGAAAAATGACTACAGAAATGAGAATTCATACAGGTAGAACTGACATACATTGCAGATGGATTAAAATCTGATTGTAAAGGCTCTGGAGGGAGGCAAGTCAAGGCATAGTGCTAGATTGAATCATAGCCGTGGCTGGCATGGGGAGAGCAAGACCAGATAATTACGTGGATGGTGGTGAGTGAAGGGAATGGGTCCATGACAGTACTAAACCTGAAGTGAATTCAAGGGTTTCACAGAGAAATGAAGTCACTTTGTTTCATTTTTGAGAAATAGTCACAAGTTACACAATTTAGCACTGCTTGAAATATTTCCTTGAATCAGCACTTAATCTGAAAACCTCAATATAGTCTAATGTGAGGAATGAAGCATTTTTAATATGCTAACAAACACGATTATAAAAAATAAGTATAATGGTAATGAACAACGATGCCATGAATAACTAACAATTTGTAACTAGCAAGGATTTCTTGTCTCTCCCTCCACTTTGCTGTCCAGCTCCCACTCTCCACTTTGCCCCCAACTTCTAATAGCTTTATTACTTTTTTTAGAGTAGACAAAAGCAAACAGAAAAAACACTTAGTATGAGAACCTGAATCCAAGATTATGTGGTCTGAGTGGTCACTTGTTAATGATTATTACTGAAAAACTGGGTAGTAAACTAAAAAACTTATGCTTCCTTTTCTTACTAGAATTGAAAGCAGAAAGTTAGACTGGTGTCAGCCATGTTCTTCTTGTAGTCTTCATCAAATATCTCATTCTGAGCCACAGTGAAGTGATTCTTCCAGTCTCCAACTGCTCCTGAAAGAGTTGTATGGGAGAGTTAGTAGCTGGTGGAGGAATTTGTATTTCGCTAGTCTCCCATTTCTCTGCGATAACATCTATTTTACCTTCCAGAAGGGGCAGTATTAAACAAAACATTTTTCTTGTTAGCCCATCATTTTCTCATTCTGAAAGGAAGATTTCTTGTCTGATTAACAGGGATAGCTTGATACCCAACTGAACGACATTAATGGGGAAAATGAGGCAACTGCATGAAAACAGCAATCCTGAGGGGCTTTCTTGTCTTTTTCTTCTGCCCTCTTACACAGCAAAGCATGGTCGTTGCTAATGACTATAACGTCGCTGCTATGGGCAGACCACGAAGGGCCTGTTTCTGGGAGGCTCAAGGCACATTTCTGAGGAATAAAAAAGATGTCCTAAATTTCCCAGTTGCAATCCCTGTTACCTTTCCCAGGTCTCTCTTACTCTGTAGCTCTTACCATCACCTATTATCTTGTGTATTCTTATTTATTTTGTTTATGCTAGAACATAGTTTCCATGAAGGAAGAAATTTTTGTGTATTTTGTTCACTTCTCTGCATATTATCTAGAACAGTGCTTTGAACACAGTAGCTATTCAGTAAGGGTTTTTGAATAAATAAATTAATTGCTAGCATAGTACCTTCTTTTCTCCAACTGAATTAATTATTTATGTAATTTAATTTATAATTTAATTAATAATTTAACCTATAAATTGATAAATAGTAATTTAATATTAATTATTCTTAACTATTTTAATAATTACTATCTCATTAAGTATTTAACATTTAATGTATCTTAGAACTCTAGAGGGAAAGTGGGCATAGGGGTTGGACTTAGACATCAAACCTCATTTTTCAATTGTGGCTAAGTACTGTTTTCATTTCATCTGCGCTTTCTTATGTATTCCTTTTCCCAGAATCATTCATTATAGGCCTTATTTTCCTTAGCCTTATAAAATTCCCCAAGGGTCTGAGATATTGGACAATTCTTTCATGATTATGACCAAAAGAAAATATAAAAACCTTTTCTCATAAATGGAGAAACAGAGTGGTTCATGATTTCAGTAGGAATCGATGAGTAGTTTGCCATTGGATTCTGCTTCATGACATCAAATGAAGAGTGATGAACAATTTTATCTAGTACTTTGTCATCTAGCTTCTTTCCAATAAATTCTGCCAGCTTCTGAATTTCATGCTTTGGGTTCTATGATCAGAGTCAAAATAAAAGTGAAGATTTAATATAAAATAATTAGTTTTGAAAGAATACTGAAAAATTAATAACAGTAATCAGTAACATCATGAGTTAAAATTAAAAAAATTCTTACCTGAAAAGTACCCAAGTTTCTGGAAATGAATCATTTTAATGTGGTTACCCATATAGACCTCTTATTATTAGTTAGAATTATTAAGCTTTTCTTCTCTAACATGGAAACATTAAGTAGTGTTCTTATGGCAATTTCCCAGAGAAATCAGACAGCACTCAGAAATGGAGAGAGATTTAATTATTACACTGGTGGGCTCAGTGGGATAGCTCCCAAAAGTCTGAGTCCTGAATTGCAGGAGCAGTAAGGTTTTATACAGTTTGTATGAGGAAGCTTGTTACCCCATCCATCATAGATTTTCTTTATTGATTGGGAAGGTGGTCAAGGTAACCCCTTCTTGCCCATAGCTACTACTGTGCACAAGCAGCAAAACACAGGAACTTTCCACTCCAGCAAACAGCAGAGTCCAAGCAGCAGACTTAGCAACTTCCTGCTTCAGTGTTAACGAAACATTTTCCATGTTTCATCACAGTGACATGCCATGAGTGAAGAACATCTCACTAAGGGACTATGTCAAGAATTTTGTCCTGTTGAAGTTACTTATGTCTTGGTCAGCTAAATGTCTTAGCAGGGAGAGTCCATGACTACTGACATTGCAGAAGCATTGGGACAAAAAATTTAAGACCTGATTAAAAGGAGACTGTCCCTTATTTTGACCCTAATTCCTTCTCCCCTGACCCCTGCAGTGTGTCTCTGGTTTATAGTTGCTTGTTGATTTTGATTTTCACTTTATTATGATTAGTCTTTTTCCTGGTCCCTTATTTAGGTTTTCTAAATTCCTGCTATGAGTGAGACCATCCGGTATTTTTCTTTTTCTTTCTGGCTTATTTCGCTGAGCATGATCCCTTCCAGCTCCATCCCTGTTGCTGCAAATTGCATGAGTTTATCTTTTTTGATTGCTGAGTAATATTCCACTGTGTATATGTACCACATCTTCTTGATCCAGTCATCTATTTTTGGGCATTTGGGTTGTTTCCATAGCTTATCTATTCTAAATAGTGCTGCTATAAACATAGGGATGCAGGTGCCCTTTTGAATTAATGATTCTGTGTCCTTTGGGTAAATACCTAGGAGTGGAATTGCTGGATCATATGGAAGATCCAACTTTAGCAGGTTGAGGAATCTCCACACAGCTTTCCATAGTGGCTGGACCATTTTGCACTCCCACCAACAGTGCAAGAGAGTTCCTTTTTCTCCACATCCTCGCCAACATTTGTTGTGGCTAGTTTTTTTAATATGTGCCATTCTCACTGGTGTAAAATGGTATCTCATTATAGTTTTGATTTGAATTTCCCTGATTATAAGTGATGCTTAACATTTTTTCATATGCCTGTTGGCCATTTGCATTTCCTCTTTGGAGAAGTTTCATTTTAGCTCTTCTGCCCATTTTTTGACCAGATTGTTTACTTTGTTTTTGTTGAGTCTCATCAGCTCCTTGCAGATTTTTGTGATTAGTCCTTTATCATTAGTGTTGTGTGCAAAAATTTTCTCCCAGTCAGTGGGGTGTCTGTTTTGGTTACTGTCTCTTTTGCTGTACAGAAGCTCTTTAATTTGATGTAATCCCAGCTGTTTATCCTTTCTTTCACTATCACTGCTTTGGGTGATGTGTCTGTAAAGATGTTTTTGAAGAGAATGTCATGAAGTGTTTTGCCTATATTTCCTTCTATGTATTTTATGGGTTCAGGCCTTATGTCTAGTTCTTTAATCCATTTTGAGTTGGTTTTTGTGCATGGTGTGAGGTAGTAATCAAACTTCATTCTTTTTCATGTAGTGACCCAGTTTTCCCAGCACCATTTATTGAAAAACTTTCTTTATTCCAGTGCATATTCTTTGCTTTTTTGTGAAAGATTAGTTGACCATAAATCTGTGGGTTTATTTCTGGATTTTCCATTCAGTTCCATTGGTCTGTGTGTCTGTTCTTGTTCCAATACCACACAGTTTTGATTATTATGGCTCTGTAGTATAATTTGAAATCTGGGAGAGTGATGCCTCCATTCCCTTCTTTTTTTTTCAGGAGAGCTTTGGCTATTCGGGGTTTTGGGTGGCTCCATATGAATGTCATCAATATTTGTTCTATTTCTTTGAAGAATGTCATTGAAATTTTTATTGGAATAGCATTGAATCTGTAAATTTCTTTTGGTAGGATGGCCATTTTGATAATGTTAATTCTTCCATCCATGAGTAGGGAACGTCTTTCCATTTCTTTGTGTCTTCTATTTCTTTTAACAGTGTTTTGTAGTTTTCTTTGTATAGGTCCTTTACCTCTTTTGTTAGGTTTATTCAGAAGTATTTGATTTTTTTTGTTTCAATAATAAAAGGGATGGTTTTCTTGATTTCTTCTTCTTCAGATTTATTGTTTGTGAGTAGGAAGGCTACTGATTTTTGCCTGTTGATTTTATATCCTGCCACTTTACTAAACTGATTGATTAGTTGAATTAGTTTTTTGATGGAGTTTTTGGGGTTCTCTATGTATATTATCATATCATCTGCGAATAGTGATATTTTGACTTCTTCCTTCCCTATTTGGATTTCTTATATGTTTTTCTCTTGTCTTATTGCTCTGGCTAGGACTTCCATATTATATTGAAAAGCAGTGGTGAGAGTGGACATCCTTCTTGTTCCAGATCTTAATGGAAATGCTTTCAGCTTTTCACCATTGAGAATGATACTGGTTTTGGGCTTGTCATATATGGCCTTTATGATGTTGAGGTATGTTCCTTGCATCCCAAGGATTTCAAGGGCCTTTGTCATACATGGGTGTTGTGCTTTGTCGAAAGCTTTCTCAGCATCTACTGATATTATCATATCATTTTTATATTTGTTTTTGTTGATGTATTGGATTACATTGATTGATTTTCAGATGTTGAACCATCCTTGTGTCCCTGGAATGAATCCTACTTGGTTGTGGTGAATTATGTTATGGATACATTGTTGGATTCTGATAGCTAAAATATTATTGAGGATTTTTGCATCCATGTTCGTTAGAGAGATTGGCCTGAAGTTTTCTTTTTTTGTGTTGTCCTTGTTTGGTTTTAGTATTAGTGTAATGTTGGCTTCATAGAATGTGTTTAGTATTATCCCTTCGTTTTCATTTTTTTGAAAGAGTTGTGAACTAAGGCACTAATTCGTTTCTGAATGTTTGGTAGAATTCATTTGTAAATCCATCTGGTTCTGGGCTTTTGTTTTTGAGGAGGATTTTCATGACCATTTCAATTTCACTGCTTGTAATTGATCTGTTTGGTTGTTCTATTTCTTCTTTATCTAGCTTTGGGTGATTGTAGAGTTTTAGGAATTTGTCCCTCTCTTCTAGATTGTTGAGCTTGTTTGCATATAACTATTCACAGTAGTTTCTGATTATTCTTTTGATTTCTGCTGTGTTTGTTGTGATTTCTCCTCTTTCATTTATGATCCTGTTTATTTGTGCTTTCTCCTGTTTTTCCTTTGTGAGCCTGGCTAGGGGTTTGTCTATTTTATTTATTTTTTCGAAGAACCAACTTTTAGTTTCATTGATCTTTTATTTTTTTAGTTTCAATTTCATTTATTTCTGCTTTGGTTTTTATTATTTCTTTTCTTCTACTGGTTTTGGGGATTTTTGGTTGTTCTTTTTCTAGTTCTTAGAGCTGTGAGATTAGGTTGTTTCTTTGAGTTCTTTCTTGTTTGTTGATGTGATCCAGTATTGCTATATATTTTCCTCTTTTTACTGCTTCTGCTGCGTCCCATACATTTAGGAAATTGGTGTCCTCCTTGTCATTCAACTCAAAGTATTTTTTAATTTCTTCTTTGATCTCTTCATTAGTCCAGTGGTCTTCCAGTAGGGTGGGTTTCAATCTCCATGAATTAGGAGAGTTCCTTGCCTTCTTTTTATGGTTTATTTCTAGTTTGATGCCTTCATGGTCAGAGAAGATGGTTGGTATGATTTCAGTCTTGGTGTATCTGTTGATGTTTGTCTTGTGTCCCAGTATGTGATCGATCCTGGAGAATGATCTGTGTGTGCCTGAGAAAAATGTGTACTCAGATTTTTTGGGTTTAGTGTTCTATAGATGTCTGTTAAGCCCATGAGCTCTAGATCCTTATTTAGAGCTTTAGTGTCCTTACTTATTTTTTGTCTCATTGGATCTATCCATTGTTGATGGTGGTATGTTGAAGTCTTCTACTACATATGTGTTTTCTCTGATGTCTGTTTTCAGAGATGATAATAGTTGTCTGATATATTTTGGTGCTCCTTCATTTGGTGAGTATATGTCAAGGAGTGTTATTTCTTCTTGAGGTATTGTCCCCTTCATTATATATAGTAATCGTTGGTGTCTCTTTTTAACTTTTAGAGTTTGAAATCTGTTTTATCTGATATAAGTATAGCTGTTCCTGCCTTCTTTTTTGGTCCATTTGCTTGTAGGATTGTTTTCCATCCTTTAACTTTGAGGCTATTTTTATCTTTTTTTTTTTTAAAGGATTTATTTATTTATGCAAGCACTGGGTATAGTCAGAAGTGCAGGAAGGTGAGAGAATTCACCAGAGCCAGAGCGGGGAACAGAACAGTCAAACCAATGAAATACACTTCTGAGGGGAGCAGCAGGCATGACAGGAGAGGTCTACATGCCATGTGGGACTCTTGCTGGCGGCCAGGGATAAAACTGACACCGCAGAGGCTGCGGGCAGCTTCACAGCCCAGCACTCAACCGCTGTGCCACCAGGGAGGCCCTATTTTTATCTTT